GGTCGTCGACACACAACAGCTTGGACTGCGGCAAGGAACGAGACTTACTTCAGCGACGTAACATACGTCACGAAGCTGAGACGCTCTGAGAGATTGGGTTTCGCATGCGCTCGGGGCTGTGCCGAGATCTCGCAGTGCTCTGGTGCCTTGGACTGCACGGAGGCGAGCAGATAGTGGCCTCGTGAAGTGGTGAAGAAGGTGCTGGAGACGCTACAACTTGCTGGTTCATGGTCGTACAGGAAGGGCGCTACTTATCTTCGTTGTCGGGAAAGTGTAAATGACGGAGGTGGTCGACCACACATATCCATACTTAAGATGGATATTTGATCAAATCACTTGACCAGGTACGAAATAGAAGGTTGACCATTTTTGTGATGATTGAAATATGGTCCAAATAAAATACTTCGCACGCAACAATCGCAACTCTGGAATAAATAATGACGTTGACGGAGCATTCATTCCCAATACATCCACCATCTTTGGTTTGGGTCCAGTGTGGCATCCAGGTCTCATACAGAGTCTCCTGAGTAGGATTAAGAAAGTAGAACTTTGCTGTCGATCTCTTTTTTGTCCTAGGTCATCTCCAGTTACAGAATTTCAATTAATCCTTTCAACATGCTCATCAATCTCCTCATCCTCGTCATACGTCTTGTAGCTGTAGCCGTGGAGCAACCGGTCCATGCGACTAAAAAAATTCTCGGCAGTGGCTCCATCGATAGGTCGGAACTCGTGTCGAAGCGATAGAAACGGCAGCCCCAAAGCAGCTTGAGACTCCGAAGCTAGATACAAGTCCAGAAAACCGCTAAACTTTATAAACTCTTCCTGCACTTGAGCATTAAAAGTCGACGCCGTCGTCAACGCTGAGATAGCTGAGCTCGAGAGCTTCAATAGTTGCTGCAAGGAGGCATCTTGTAGCACGGACACGGGCAAGCCCGACGAGATGAGCCACGTCCGGACGAGGTCCGTCGTCTTGCCGGGTGTTCGCTTCCGTGGCGATACTCCCGTTGTCTGCGTTTTAACCACAGAAGTGACTGGCACTTCATCTGCCGATGCACCTTCCCGGTTCTCGTCAGGAGTAGTGGCGGATTTCTTCTTGGGGCCAGGCGTTCGCTTGACTCTCTTCTTCTTTGGTTCGTTCGTGCCATTGGCAGCTTTCTCTACCAACGCTTCTCGTTTGCGTTGCTTGTAGTCGGCAATGGTGACGAACTCGTCCGGATGAACGCGTTGCATGTGCGCCACGGCATTCGTGGACATCCGTTGGCGCATCAGAGCGTCGCGCCACGTGACTGTTCGCTTCGACGTGGCCCGCACAGGCGGAGAGGCCGAGCATAAGACGCAGATGTGAGTGTACGGGCGATCGCCACTCTTTGGGTTCGGGAGGGGCGTCGTCAACTTATGAATGAACTGCCAAACGGGAAGGTTGGTCTGCGGACCGTGCGCGACGGATAACGGGATGCCGTGTCGGTCGGTGGGTTCACCGGCGAGAGGGTGGGGAGTCTGGGAGGCTTCGCTCTTTGCGTACAAGACGTCGGACGCGTGATGTCCCTGCATGATTAGCGGATGAATCGGTAGTACTGCGCGGGTTGTCGTGAGGGAATTGCTACTGGTGGGGAGAATTTTTCAAGATTTTGCTTGTTTTTTGTAGGAGAAGGGATGAATAGTAAAAGTAAGACAGGCCCTTACTAATATTAGCAAAACCAAGACAGGCACTTCCTACTATTTGCAAGTAAGAATTGGCATAAGGGTTCCAATTTTACCGTAAAAGCCTTAACCCTATATTAGAATGCGTGCTTCTTTCTCTACGAAAGGGATAATTAAGAAAAAACCGTGCTGACGTTTAGAAACTAATATCTAAATGTAATTATTAAAAATATGGCTGCACCTAAATGTGCAAAATATTATCTTTAACTGCTCTTTTTGTTTCTAACCTTTTTACTTGAATACGCGGTGTTATTACTAATACTGAACATGCTGATTCGATCACAACGACTTAATGCTGGCAGTCTACTCCTGAAAATTTTAATTTCAGGCTGAAATATACCTCTGCAAAATGGTACCAAAGGCCAAAGAAATCTTCAAAATGGATGTCATGGTCCATGACTCATGGAATGCGTATTGTACTGTACTATAATACATGTTCGTGTACGAATTTTAAGTACTGTATCAGCATGTTCAGTATTAGTAATAACACCGCGTATTCAAGTAAAAAGGTTAGAAACAAAAAGAGCAGTTAAAGATAATATTTTGCACATTTAGGTGCAGCCATATTTTTAATAATTACATTTAGATATTAGTTTCTAAACGTCAGCACGGTTTTTTCTTAATTATCCCTTTCGTAGAGAAAGAAGCACGCATTCTAATATAGGGTTAAGGCTTTTACGGTAAAATTGGAACCCTTTTACTTGCAAATAGTAGGAAGTGCCTGTCTTGGTTTTGCTAATATTAGTAAGGGCCTGTCTTACTTTTACTATTCATCCCTTCTCCTACAAAAAACAAACAAAATCTTGAAAAATTCTCCCCACCAGTAGCAATTCCCTCCGCCGGCACAGCATCCCGCGCAGTACTACCGACTCATCCGCTAATCATGCAGGGACATCACGCGTCCGACGTCTTGTACGCAAAGAGCGAAGCCTCCCAGACTCCCCACCCTCTCGCCGGTGAACCCACCGACCGACACGGCATCCCGTTATCCGTCGCGCACGGTCCGCAGACCAACCTTCCCGTTTGGCAGTTCATTCATAAGTTGACGACGCCCCTCCCGAACCCAAAGAGTGGCGATCGCCCGTACACTCACATCTGCGTCTTATGCTCGGCCTCTCCGCCTGTGCGGGCCACGTCGAAGCGAACAGTCACGTGGCGCGACGCTCTGATGCGCCAACGGATGTCCACGAATGCCGTGGCGCACATGCAACGCGTTCATCCGGACGAGTTCGTCACCATTGCCGACTACAAGCAACGCAAACGAGAAGCGTTGGTAGAGAAAGCTGCCAATGGCTCGAACGAACCAAAGAAGAAGAGAGTCAAGCGAACGCCTGGCCCCAAGAAGAAATCCGCCACTACTCCTGACGAGAACCGGGAAGGTGCATCGGCAGATGAAGTGCCAGTCACTTCTGTGGTCAAAACGCAGACAACGGGAGTATCGCCACGGAAGCGAACACCCGGCAAGACGACGGACCACGTCAGGACGTGGCTCATCTCGTCGGGTTTGCCCGTGTCCGTGCTACAAGATGCCTCCTTGCAGCAACTATTGAAGCTCTCGAACTCAGCTATCTCAGCGTTGTCGACGGCGTCGACTTTTAACGCTCAAGTGCAGGAAGAGTTTATAAAGTTTAGCGGTTTTCTGGGTTTGTATCTAGCTTCGGAGTCTCAAGCTGCTTTGGGGCTGCCGTTTCTATCGCTTCGACACGAGTTCCGACCTATCGATGGAGCTACTGCCGAAGATGGAGCGAGAGACGACGTTGTGTCGAACCAGGAGAAGGCGTTCCTTAGTGTGGCAGTTGGGTTCATTGACTCGCAGTGGCGTCGAGTGGACTTGGTGTTGACAGCGAAGCAAGTGCCGAGAAGTTGGAGTCAACAAGTGAACCAACTTGTGACCCAGACTGTGTCGGACACGTACGGCATCCCCTCCATCTCCAAGTATGCGCGGTTCCACGTGGATGTCGTGGAGGCCTCGCCGTCGAGTCTTGCGGTTAGTGAAGGGTACGAAGCTTCCACGGACGAGCACGAGGATGTATTGACACGCACGTTGCGTCACTGCGTGGTCGATGCACTGGGTGTCGGAGCCACGAGCTCTTTCGGTGGAGAGACGAGTGTTCGTCGCCTTGTCCGATTACTACAAGAGCTTCTGACGTACTTTGAGGCGCCTGACCGAGCGAATATGCTGGCGGAAATCGGGGCCAGGAACGCTGTGCAGGTGACGTTCTCTTCGGCTTCATCCATCGACGCCCTCGCACTCTCGTCCTTGACGTCGATTGGTGCAATGGCCGAGCTGTTGCGAGTCAGCTGCTGTCGATACCGAGCCTACTGCTTGTACTTCCAGTCGTCTATGAGACCAACAGTAGCGGAGCCCGAGTTGGAGACGGCGTGGACGCAACTGTCCATGGACGACTGGCAGACTGTGACGGAGATTGAAGCCATTTTGAACCACCTGACGCAGTTCCGTCTCGAAGAGCGCGTGGCCTTACGACCAGGAGCAGTGGCGCCTTCCTATGCGCTTCTGTTCCGACGTCTGCTCTCGGTTACAGTCAGTGTCTCCAGTCTCAAGTGTCTTTCTCTAGAGGACGACGCTGCTGTTGGCTCTTCCTCCGAGAAACGGACAACACGACGCAAGGCCAAACGGGTGGACATGTTCACGTCAACAGGTCGTCAATGCATGGAACAGCTTCGAGAGCTGATCACGCAGCACTTGGCGAGTCCTACATCCGTGTGTGAAGTGGACGATGAGATCAAAGCCATGTTGCTGGACCCCCGTATGAGCTCCAAGGCTGGCGATCTCGTCTCGGACACTTGTGTGTTCCGTCGCGCTCAAGAAGCTTTGCGTCAGGAGCATCGAGCTGTTTTCCAGCTGCTTGCTGCTCGACCGAGTGATTCGAGGTCCAGTACTGAAGAAGAGGTGGAGGAAGAGGATGAGGACGATGAAATGAGTTCTCTCTTGATGGTGGATGGACCGAAGAACCAGCCGCCTGCTGCTGCGTCGACTACGAGTAGTGGCAGAGGTTCAAGTGATGCTGTGGCTGAGGACGAGGCTCGAGCTTGGCGCGAATGGCAGCAAGTGTATGTGGCATGGGACACTCTTGCAAGTGAGGGAGCAGACCTGTTCGACAAGGGCCAGTACAACCTACTGAAGCTGTATCACCACGTGGATATCCTCAAGTGGTTCCGTGAAGTTGGTCAGCAGGCCCATCCGGCGGCGTCTCTGCTCGCTCGCGTGTATCTTGGTCAGCAACGTCCTCCGTCTCGGGCTCTGGGAACGTCGCTGTTGCAGTTTACGAAGCAGGAAGAGGCTGATTGGGTTACTGGAGCTGTTGAGCGAGCTGAGAAGCGTTGCATTCTTCACCACAATTGGCGTCAGTATCAGCAACTCAGTGCGGACGCAGCGGTCGTTCCAGCGAAGGATGAAGGCATCAAGATTACAACTATTTGAGCACAATGGACAAGGTGTTCACGAAAAGTAGTTTAACTATCTTGGCTGTATCTCGTATTAGGGAATGCTTCATTCCCTTAAAAGCTCGTTTAAACAGAAAATGGAATTTTATTTCGAATAAAACCTCCGCAGGGACGGATATTGCAGACCCACAAACACCATGTTACAAACTGTCGAGAGCTTTGTTGATACCATTTTTTTTAATTGCATTGTAGCCGTGGACAGTGGTGAGCGTTTGGTATTGGAGTCTTGCTTTCCGTATCAGCGAGGCTATCACCGATCAGAATGCCGCTTGAAACTCAGACCTGCCCATCAGCGATACCATGCAATGTGGCAGCTGAGATACATGTACCACCTTGCAACAAACCGAACTCAGCTGAATCGCAGGGGTGTCAGTGCCGAAGTGGTCAAAGCTGTTGTCTATCAAATGAGTCTAGTAGATTGTCGACTGGAGAGCGATACATTTGACGTTTTTCTTACTATAATACTGTAGCACTGGCTGTGCTTGAAGGAGGTGGGTTTCAGCTGTGTCCGGGCTCGCGTCTACTGTTGACGATAGATCATCGGGCATGGATTACAGCTAACATGGTACGTAAGTTTTCGTTTCTTGTAGTGCTTTGTCGGGAGTCGTAATACATGTACAAAACAAACCTCACAGGTAAGGCAGTCATGTTACAAAGCTGTATTTCTCATTGCTGCGTTCGACCACAATGACTTGATGCTGGCAAACTACTCCTGAAATATACACAGCAAATTGGTGCCAAAGGCAACAAAGAAACCCCCGAAGGTATCGTCAAAACGCAGCTGCGTTTTGTACTACCGTATCTGAGATCTCCTACTTCAGACCCAATATTTCTGAAGTTGTATTGTTGCAAAATACACAAGATCTGTACACGTACCGACGCATCTCTATCACGTATTATTTAAACAAAACAATTTAGTTATCAAGTTCTTCTTCGGGAACTACGAAGTTTTCTATGTCGTGACGCGTATCCACAGCATGGCGCACTACGGGCACTTCTTCCAGCAACCGTCGTAGCAGCTCCCAATCAGGTTCACTGTCGGAAAGCTCCGTTCCAGCTCCCAATCAGGTTCACTGTCGGAAAGCTCCGTTCCAGCCTCTAAGTTTTTAGTAGGCTCAATGGATAGCATTTTTGCTTTCTCAAATCCGCTTCTAACCGTTTTGCGAGACAACGCATTCCACGAATTCTTCGTCCAACCTATTAATTGCTGCCGTGTAGGTGCTTTTATCTTAAACGGAAGCGTCGAAGTTGAAGCGCGTAGTTGTTTCAACCACCCAATCTGTTTTAAATATAGCGCTGCCATTGGCCATAGAGCTGGTGGATACCGGTAGTTACAGTTTAGCATGTTTTTTGTACTCTGAATTAGGAGATTTAGACTGTTCCATTCTCGATATGTGATTGGCTGGAGGGCAGTCTGAATTAGGAGATCACTCTGAAGTAGGAGATCTCAAATACGGTAAATGTATTAGTACGTGTGCGGAAGTACTGTATCATAATGTGCGGAAGCACTGTATCATAATGTAAAGTATTAGTAATAACACTGTGTATTCTAATAAGCAATGCTTTTAAATAATAATAGCAGCATTTTTATTTTGCTTAATATCTCGAAATAATATTTAGCAGGTTTTTGTAAGAGCTAGCTTTTTATTAAGGAAGTGGATAAAGTCACACAATGGGATCCACTTCGAGTCCGGTAATTTAAAAAAAAATCCCGAGAAACAAAAATTCCGACAAACAGGAAAATAGAAATTCACTTCTTCCTTCCAGCCCCCCCCCCTCCGTGTCACCCCATCTCCCCCCTTTCACCCGCCCCCGACGATTTCCCGCCGTTCATTTCAAAACAGGACCAAATTCGACAAAATGGCGAGCGTCGCGTCGACTGGCTCGGGATCGGACGGCGAGAGTGAGCCTGCCGAGGCACGCTCTCCGGAGATACACGTCCCGGAATCGCGGAATACGTCTACGTGTGCTCCCCCGTTAGAGCAGCGCTGTTACACAACGTGGGGTGCATTTTTTTCGGCGTTGGAGCAGTACCAAGAGCAGACCCACCAAGTGTTCCGTAAGCGTACCTCTACAAGTGCTGCATCTAGGAATGCTGAATTAGTGAAGCGAGGCAAGCTGACAGAGACGACAAGAATTCCTGATTCGTTCGACAAATACTACCGGCGACTTTGTTGCACGCATGGCTGGAGTCGGCCCAGTCGGTCTACTGGCAAGCGCTCCAACTACTTTGTCAAGTCGACGGGGTGCGAGGCTCAGATCTCGGTTACAGTGGTGTGGTCAGGAGATCATGGTTTTCAAGTGAAGATAACCCAGCAGAACACGACGCACAACCACGGCCTCGGACCAGACAAGTATAACAACCACCCTGCCAATCGACGTATAGATGATGAAGAGATGCTTGGTTTTGTCGACGAGCTACAAGCTGCTGGAGCAAAAAAGAAGTTGATACTTGCATTTTTGCGGCGTCGCTCAGGTACTAGTACTATCATTTGCTGTTTTTTATTGCTAAATTATTGCTGAACTAATCTGTTTCATCTGGCAGGCAAGCAGGTAACCCTACGTGACGTGCACAACATGGTGCAGAAGCTTAAGGAACAACGCCTTGCATGCGTGTTCGCGAGCTCGCGCGCCCGTTTTCGATTCTCTTCATGACCATGCAGCATGCCGTGCTGCATGGGATAGCGTAAGCACTTCTCCACCATGTATCTGCTTTCATGAGTCCATCAGCAACCGCTACAAATCTCCGTGTCCGACCTGGAACCGCGTTGTTGGTACTGTTGGCAATGCACGAGCTGCGCGGCCATGCCCATAAACATGCTCTTACGTCGACTCTGCGGTGGTCTTGACAGCGCTGTACGACTGGGTGATGCCCACATTGCATGGCTCTCGGGCACTTGGTCACATGTCCAACGCTGGATAGCTTGTTCGAGACCTTCAGCACGGCGGCACAGCCTCCATGCAAAGCAAATCACGTCGTGACGAGGACGTCCCCTCCCCGTGCTACTTGCATCTCGGACGCTTGTTTCCATCGTCTTCATCCGTCATTCCTCGCGCGTCCGCAGCGCCCGCGTCGCCTCTCACTGCGGCAGAAATCTGACTGCGCGAAGTCTTGCGTACAGTCGTGCAACACGACCATGAGCACAACATTCGCAGCACATTTCGGTATGCGCAAGCACGCGGCACGGGCTGAAATTTTTAAAATATATCGGGTAATTTATTTTGATAGTGTGCCCTTTCGTGGCTTTGTGACGCTAGTATTCGCCACACAAGACGGAGTGGCGTGTCTGTGTCACTAATATGCGCGTAAGTACGAAGTCACACTCTTATTGTGTGACTCTAACACTGGTCTTTTATTAATAACTTTAAGATAATATTTTCTAAGCGGCTGTTAGGCCAGGATTATAATTCGGGAATCATACAAGATTTAGGTCAGGATTAATCCTGTATCTTGAAGCCCCTCAAAAATGAATAGCCATATGGGGAAGATTTGAGAAGATTCGTCGAGGACGCGTAATATTCGTTACGTGGCTAGCAACGTTGCAGGATTATTCCTGAATATACCACGTTTAATGAGACTTTTGTATCTTATTAATTGTACCATGATACGAGATAAATCATGATAATCAGCTCGAAAAAAATCCTGAATAGAACACTCGTGAAAAAAATTAGGATATTGTACAGGATTAATCCTGTTTTCTACATGTAAAAATCCTGGTTTGAATTTTTCGAAACGATTTTTTAATGGAAACCTACATGTTATGAGTGCTAAGATGCAAAGATACCGGTCAACTTTCATTTGTCACCAATCTGGGTAGGCGCCACCTCCTCATCGTCCATGTTCTTGTCGTCGCTCTGTGGAACGGGAGGTTTTTCATCCGTCAAAGCAGTTGCAGCAGCCTGTGCAGGCAAGCGTCGGCCTGTGAGTAGATATATGAACAGCTCAAAGCGATGCCTTGGAAGCGAAGCGTCGGTCATATCCAGGTGCCCGTAAGTAATCTGGTGGATGAGCATCCAGCAAATGTAGACACCGCAGCTGAAGCCGTCGAGCTGTCGGGGATTGTTTATCGGAATGGGTTCGAAGTCATTTGGCCTTGCAAGCTTCAATCTAACAGCAACCGCATTCGCCGCGCTCTTGTACGACGGCTGGTTCAGCGGATCGTAGTAATAGATCCGCTTCGTGCTCAGTTTAACAGCTAAACAGCACCAGTGCAGATTGCCAAAGTTTAGAGAAAGGAACGCCGATTCAACTCCCTCTTCTTTTACACGCAGTCACGGATACTATCGCTCAACACCGTGTCTTCACCCTGCCGCGTTCGTTTCGTTTTGACCTTCACAGCTTGAAATCCGGCAAACCGACATTGCGGGTAATCATGGCACAGGCGTATACATAAAACACGAATTGAAGCATTCGATAGCCACAAAGGCGGCATTGCTCGGTACAGCATTGCATACTGGAAGTCAGCGTCGTTTGGGAGCCCATCGATAGACTTATAGGGGTATGTATCCTTGACATTTTGAGCAATCCGTTTGCCTAATGCGTGATATTCTGCTGCCAGAGCCAGGATACCCGTTTCGGTCATCCATTTGTAGGTTTACAAACCCTTTTCAACGGCCTCCTTGAGATTCAGGACCCGCTTGAATGTCTCTATTTGCTGTCTCAAAAATTGCCCCACATCCTTAATGAGCACCGTTTCCTTCTGCTGCGCAGACGTGTCGTCATCGATGCCCTGGGTTTGACTTGATTGAGAATCTCCTACTGATATAGGGCTGGATGCCGTGTTCGATACAGGAAGAACCTTCATGCACGCCTCCAATAGCTTGCTGGGTAGAAGATAAAAAGGATCCTGGACCAGCACGGGATTTTTGCTGACCTTCCGTTTTGACTTCTTCTTTTCATGCTCCACATGCCTCACAATTAAACCTGAAAGCCGTCTCTGCGTTTCTTGAAGACCAGGTTGGTCTCGAGCCAAAACACTTAATAATCCCTGTAACGTAACCTTGCCTGCAATCTTTCGTCCGCTTTCAGCAGGTTCATACCACTTGCGGCCCTCTTTTTTCGATGCAACTAAAGTTTTTTTTAGGTTTCCGGGGAGCGCCGACCTTTTTCGCCTTTGGATTAAGTCGAATAACGGACGGATTGGCTTTATTTCGAAAATCAGCAGGTACATCTGATGTAGCTGAGAGAGATTGATCTTCGTTTTCGCTTGAGCTAATATCAAACTCCAGCCAAGCTGCTGCATACAGAGCCATGTCTTCGTGTTGAGATTGTTGTGCGGTACTCTCGCCCCCACCGTTGTCGCTCAGCGCATAATCACCCCTCTTCATCTGGCGCACATTTTTCCACTGGTTTAAAACAAACTTTAGCATTTCATCGAGCTCTTCGTCGTTTTCGATACCTGCCATTTCACTTGCAATAAGGTGCGTAGCTCGGACCGCTTCACGATAGCGGTCTGAATGCGTTCTCAGCTTCTTTCGAACATCTCCAGCGTCAGTAGTGGAAAACGTCTCGTACTCGAGCTGCTTCACTCTTTTCAAAGGCCGATTTGGAGTGGTCCATTTAGAAAACCAGAAACACAGGCGATTACAATCCTGGACGTTTGCAGGATTTATATCCTTGATAAGTACTGTACACTTACCTGTCGTCGATAAGACACCAAGGAATGAGCGGCCCTAAAAACCAATGTCTATACGATACGCAATGGCGTGGCGGCATAGTAAACACGTCGACACAGAGAATTCACAGTCAGATTTCCAATCGGTCACTCCCAAGCAATGTTCAGAGAAAATGCCGATCACCAATATTCCGTCCTCAACTTGTGGGTCCTTCTAATACTTGTAAGTAGAATATTTAGACATAGCAGATGCATACTGTGGCTCAATATGTTGCGCAACGTAATGCGTGGTGAATCGGAGTACGTTCGTGAGCTCCTCGTCGTAATTACTGCTGACAAATCGACCGATCTGAGACAAACGGTACTCGTACTCGTTCTGCATGCGCCTGTCGTAAGCTACCAGGGACTTCACACCCATGGCCATACTCATTGTACCCTCCACCGCCTCCTTCAGCTTTCCGAAGAAGCTCTCCAACCGATTGTTGGTGTGGTTCTTGAAGCGTGGCAAGCTGGCTATACTCATTGTACCCTCCACCGCCTCCTTCAGCTTTCCGAAGAAGCTCCCCAACCGATTGTTGGTGTGGTTCTTGAAGCGTGGCAAGCTGGCTCGTGTGTACGAGACCCAGCGGTCTCGAGACCCATCCCAATTCTATTGAAAATAGTCATAAAATCCATTCATCCCCGTGCGACCACAAATGCCATTAAGCGACTCGTGCGCATCGTTGTATTGGTTCTCTGACTGCGCATACACCATCTTGTGGATGGCAACGTCGAAATGTGAAGCATCTTCGGTCGAAAGTTTCCCATACTCAGTCTTTGATCGCTTTTTCTTTAATTACTTGATTACGTAAAAGTGACAGCTAATCACGCGAGCCTTGGGGCAATGCTCTTCCAGCACGCGGATCTCGTTGAGATCCTTGTAGACAACAATTACTCGCAGCAAATGGATGCGTGTCAGATGCGAACGTTTGAAGTGCAAAATTGCTCTATCCACGTGCCAGTCGTCATTGGTCTCGATGAGAGACTGCTGCACGACAGCAATTTCATTAGACTCGTTCATCCCCATGAAGGTGAGTAGTTGATAGTCGTATCGGTACAAAACAGCCATGGAAAATCATGTTTGCTCCGTAAATGCGCCGCATGTGGGCTGTAGCTAGTGAAATAACCCCACTTTCCCCAACTTCAGTCTCCGCAACGGTAGACACGTTCTCCGAATATGCGGCTGAAAACGCTGCAATCTCCCGTGCTGTGGCCTCGTTATCATCTACATTGGAGACGGAGGATGCATGACCTCGCACTAAGTTGTCCACGTCAACCTGGATCACGTTTTGGTCGTGCTCCAAAAGATAATCATAGATGCGGGTTCGTTTGGCTCCAACAGCCAAGATACCATCGACGCGGGCGCTCACTATATGGTCTTTTAGTCCACGTGATGTTGGGTACGTTGCAAACGCAGCCGGAGACACCGCGTGTGCAGCGGGACTGTCGTAGCTTTAGCGTCAGAGGAAGACGCTCGACTCAAAGAGTCACTAATACTAAGTTCCTTATCCAAAGGATACTTACAGCCCAAGACCGGGGTTTAAAGTTAATATCTTAATTTTTATGCTTTAAAACCAGAAGAGTTTTATTTACAATTATTGCAGCCAAGCCGCCTAGGGGTAAATATATCTGTTTACCTATCTAGCATAGTTAAACCTGATCGAATGCACAACGTGTGGCTTTCAGCCAACGTACTGAGAGACCTTGTTAACTCTCCAACTTATGTACTAAGGATTGCTAACTCTCCAGGTACTTCGTACCCCTGTGCTATCCACACCATGTAACCCCATTACACTCCCCCCCACTAAGATGAGAACATTCCGTTCTCGAATTTTCCTCAGCGGGGTCACGTCTTGTTAAGACGGCGGAGGTTACTACACCTCACACCAGCGTTGTACAGCTCCGTGAGCTCACAAATGCCTGCGTATCGTTGATGCCCAGCTTCTTGTCGTCCGCCCACGGCCCAATGTTCCAAGCGCAGCGCGCATCTTGCTCTCAGACCTACGCTTGCGCTCCGCGCCTACTCCAAGAGTTGCAAACCGCTTAGAGCTATGCTCTTGACTCATCCGAGTCGTCTGTAACAGCTCAGCGGCTGAACACTCGCTTCACAAGCGATAGGTCGGTGGTTCGATTCCACGAGGGCGTCGCCCTCCCGTTCCATGAGCGATTGTCCATGCTTGGACAAGATTAAGGGCAGCACCCGTTTAGCTCAGTGGTCGAGCGTTGGCTTCGGAAGCCACAGCTCGGTGGTTCAAATCCACCCGGGCGCAGCCCTCTCTTACCATGAGTAGTCCGTTCTCGGACTGTCGTACGGGCATCGCCCTTATAGCTCAATGGTAGAGCTCCAGCCTGGCAAGACAAAGGCAAGTGGTTCGATCCCCGTCCGGGACACCACTTTCGCTGTTACAGCGCATCCACATTTGGATCATGCCCAGCGGGCAAGTTGTTTCAAAACAACTATGCGTCTATCGAGACGCTTGTGCCTAACCCTTGTTCAGCACAACACGAAGCACCTGCTTCCTTCGGGACCATGTCCCTAACACCATGAGGTCTTCCCACCTCCTTCTCCCGCTGCGAGCACCGCTCATACGTACGAGCTGGCTGCTGCAGCCACTGGTCAGAGCCTGAGCTCAACTGCTGACCTGATCGCTCCCCACTCTAGTTGAAGGCGCCCAGCGCCTGGCGACGCTGTCGCACGCTATGGTGGCGCTTAGGCACATGATGTGCCCGGTCGTAAGCGTCAACGACGTCAGGGCAATCTTGCCGGAGGATAACTGCAAACTCCCATGAGCTCTGTGAGTGAGGGTAACCCCTCCACTTCACCAAGCACTGGGTACAACCCTGGCGTCTACGCCGTCCCACAAGGCGTTCCACGTGAAAGTGGAGCTCACCATGCTCATCGAGCAGAGCGGGAGGAGGCCTTGCCTCAGCTGGGCTCTCGTGGGGAGAGTCAGCATTTGCCGGAACGGCGTCTGCGTCCATACGACGCCGGCGTCCACGACGCGAACGTTCCCGTTCACCGTCCATCGGTCGATCTCGAAGAGATGATCCACCTTGTGGATAGGCTAGAGTCACCACTGTTGACTCACAACCAGGTCTCGGACCTTGAGCGTCCAGTCGCTCGGCTGAACGTTCAGCTTGCCTTGCTCCTGCATCTCGAGCACTTCACTCCGCGACCTGTGGCTCTGCCACATACTGTTGATCGCCATCTGTGGGCCCACCTCTTGCTGTCGTCCAGCCTCCCGTGGCTCTCCCACCTGCTGCCCTGCAGCTGTCCGTGGTCCAGCCACCGTTGGCGCTAACGCCTCCGCGCTCACCTGATCAGGGTCTTGATATGGCTTAAGCAAGCCAACATAGTAGATCGGATGCGTGCGCATCTTCTTTGGAAGGATGAGCGTATACGCTAGGCCCTTCCTGGCCACGACCTTGAACGAGATCTCAACTTCGTCTTGAAGACTGCAGACACTGCATGAGTAGGTAGGGTTTAGCGCTTAATAAAACTTGGTCACCGACATCAAACCTCTCAACATTGCTTCTGCCCTTGGCATCTGCATGCTCCTTCTGCGTGTCTTGGCTTTCAGCCATAGCGTCGCGTACTTGACGCATTACGCTCAGTCTCACAGAGACAAATTCATCGACTTGCTTGCGAACCGCAACAGGGCTGACATCAGCTAGCCGCTCGGGTATCCCTCCCCCATCAAGCCCTGAGCCACTGCGTGGCAGCGTCAGTGGGACGCGAGGGTTAACCAAGCCGCTCACATAGAACGGAGTGTAGCCTGTCGAGGCGTGCACTGCATTATTTAATGCGAACTCAACGAGTGGGAGCATCTGGCTCTAGTGTTTTGGCGCCTCAGCGAATACGCTTCGGAGGGTATCCTCCACAACGCGATTCACGCGTTCATTCTGACCATCGGTCTGCGGATGGTCCGCTGTGGACATGTCCAGACGAGTGCTAAGCACTCTGAAGAGGGACGTCCAGAACTTCGCAGTGAAGCGCGAGTCTCGATCCGAGACAATTGCCTCAGGCAAGCCATGTTGGCGAAAGTCTCGGTCCAAAAACAGCAAAGCTGTACCTTCACCATCAATGGTGTCCAGCACCGCCGCTAAACGAGCCATCTTGCTCAATCGGTCTACAAAGACCACAATACCCGTGTTTCCCGCCTTATCCTTGGGAAGGCCAAACACAACGTTCATACGCAAGGACTGCCAACATCCCTTGGAGACAGGCAAACTCACCAATGGCGCTGCCGTGCTCGGCGCGGACTTTGTCCGTTGACACGTCTCACACGTGCGTACATAGGTACCGACCTACTTATACATCTTGGGCCACTGGTACATCGAGCTCACCGAGCCATAGGTCTTCTCCCGACCCAAGTGCCCGCCCACGGGTGTATCATGAACCTCATAGAGGATTCGATACTTTAGATCCTCATCATGAGGAACGGCTACACGAGGGTTATCCTCAGAGTCGGTGCTGTAGTACAGCAGGCCGCCTTCGAGCGCATATCGATGCAGCCTCGCGCGTAAGCGCCCAGACAATTCCTTGTCAGAGTCTTTAAACGCTTCGCTCCCAAGAGCCCGTAGCAGCGCTACGCACATGTTGTCCTGTGCATAGACTCTGCGTATTCAGTCAGGCACTGACGACGTCACTATCGTGACAGGAGCTAACTCGTAGTCCGGCCTGCGCGAGAGCGCATCGCCCACTACATTGAGCCGCCCCGACTTGTACTTCACCTCGAAGTTATACTCGGCAAAGAAGGAAAGCCATCTTGTCATTCTCTGATACAGATGAGGCGACTGTGTCGCTGTGCGTAGTGACGCATTATCCGTAAAGATCACAAAAGGCTTAGAGCCTAGCAGGTGTACCCTGAATTTGACTAGAGCATACTTCATTGCAAGTAGCTCTTTGTCATGAGCTGGATAGTTCTTCTCTGCAGCTTTGAGCTGGCGAGACTCATACGCAATCACGCGTTCACGTCCTTCGGCGTCTGTTTGTAGTAAAGCACAACCGATTGCAAAATCGGAGGTGTCACAGACGACGCTAAACGGACTATCCGGGTCCGGTAGCGCAAGGATCGGAGCCTGGGGGAGGCTCTCCTTCACAGCCTCAAAGACTCCGTCGTGCTCGACGTTCCAGCACCATGGTGCGTGCTTCTTAAGGAGATCTGATAATGGCCGAGCCATCTCCGCATAGTTCGCGCTGTACTTGTGCAGGTAATTGGCTAAGCCTAGCCACTTGCGTAAGTCTTTTTCGTTCTTGGGAACCGGCCAGTCCACGATTACCTTGACTTTGGCAGGATCTGCCCTTAAGCCTCGCTTCCCAATGAAGCACGAGGAAAAGTATTTCCTCCGCGCCAAAGACGCACTTGTCCAAGTTGGCATACAACTTATTAGTGCGCATGCACTCGAGCACCGCTCGCAAGTGGTCAATGTGGCTCTCCACGTCTGACTTTCCGTGCTCAGCACGACTATGAACGAATATATCGTCAAAGTAAGCTTGAGCGTACGCTCGTTGGGGTCTAAACAACTGCGTCAGAAGCCAATTGAACGTTGCTGGTGCGTTCGACAGCCCCTGGGGCATGACCTGCCACTCCCAGAGCATATCGATGATGCGTGAAGAGTCTATGACACTGAAACCGCTCATGGGGAGCGTAAAATCCTTCGAGGGGAAGGATGGAGAGAGTCTCCTTCTCTGGGCCCGTGAGGTCGAGATGGCCATGGGATCGGCCCTGCTCCAGACTTAGCATCAGCGCGTGGCGCTGGCTATCTCCAGGCTTGGAGGTCGCGCTCGCGAATGGGGCACTAACGTGCAGCACGTCTGTTGACGCTGCATTTCTCACTTGGGATCAGCTGAAGCAACAGCTTTCGCGCGTGTTCGCGCCGCCTAATCAGGCGTACCGTATCAGATCGAAGTTCCTTGCTACCTGCCAGGGTAAGAAGAATTTATTGGACTATGTCCAAGCGTTGGGAACTCTTATCGGCGGAATGGCGGCGGACCCTCTTCCAGAACTGGTCAGTGTGACCGTGTTCATGAAGGGACTTCGTGTGACCGCAGCTTGAACGGAAGTGATCCGTGTACATCCTAACGCTTTCGAAGAGGCGTTGGATGTGGCATTAAATGCCGAGCACAATTTCAGGTCGGCTCGACCTGGTTGGAGCGCTGGTAGCGCAAGCTCTTCGAGTGGTTCAGAGCCAATGGATCTCAGCTATGCTGAAGACGAAGAAGCGGAGCTTCTTGCTGCGGAGCAGCGCGCCAGCATCCGCCAATGCGTTGTATACAATAGCACTAAGCACTTGAGGGCCGATTGCCCTCTGCGCAAGAACCGCGAGGCTGCGAGTCAACCCTCCGGTTCATCGCCGGAAAACGGCAGCTTTCAGTAGGCGGGGGGCGGCCACTGGGGAAGAATTGAGTTCTGTTGTGCCTTGAGGATGTAGAGGGCAACGGGGCTCAGCCCCGAAGAGAGCTGAGCTCTCTTACGAGAAGAGTGTGTGCAAGCCGGGCTTGCTGGTCGTTCAAGCGAACGTGAAGAGCTTTGCAAAGATATGGAGTTTCTCGATTGACTCGGGAGCCTCGGGCAACTACGCCCGTCGCTCAACCCTGGAAGGGAGTCAGCGGTATGCTGAGGCACTGGAAGTGCCAACGAGAGATACGATCTCTGTCCGTCTCGCGACTGGGACACTGGTAACTGTGTTAAAGGTCTCTGTCGACCTTGGGGTGAAGTTTAAGAGCTTCGATAGCGTGGAACGCTGTTTGGTCATAGACCTGGATGCGAGGTATGACCTCATCCTCGGCATGGCATGGCTGGAACGCCATGAGCCATGGATCGACTGGAAGTCGAAAACGCTGGGTGCGTCGCACCCTGCTCCTAGTGGAGCTTTGGTGAGTCATGAACCCACCTCTGCTAGGAAGAAGAAGCACTTTTGGCGCGAGCACGAGACCGAGGCGGCCGTAGTGCTGGACATTGGTATGTCAGAAATTATTAGCAACGAGGTTGCTGTTTGCCCTGAGGGCGTACTTGGTGCGGCACGTTATCCGCTGAGCGGTGCAGGTCAGGTCAATGACCAACTGCTGGGTCCTGGTGAGGACGAGCGCGGAGTGGCGCGTAATTCACTGAGTGGTACGAATCTGGTCGATGACCTACCGCTGCGTGACCCGAGGGTCGCGGTCGACTGCAAGTCGAGGCATCATGGGCGTAGCCCAGGAGTTGCAGGTGAAGTAACACCTAGTTCACTGTGTGAAGGTCAAGGATATCTTGTCTTTCAGCCGAGTGTCTTGCGAGACACTGTATCCTCTTCGAGGAGTGATGGTGCGGTTGCACACGGTGGTGGTGACGGAGATGTCGCCACACCGCCCTCCTCCGGCCGGGCTCGGTCGCGGAGGGAGAGGAGAAGAAGACGCAGGGCGTCTGTGACGTCTTCGACGTCGGACGAGGTGTCCAACGTGGCGAGCGGTGATGCTCCACGAGATTGCTGTGAACAGCTGTACACACTCGTGAGCGGGGTGACGGCGGTAGAAGGCGACATCAGCCTTGACACTCTGCCCGTTGCAGATGCTCTGCTAGAGATGGACGAGATGTCCATTGTCGAGTTTGGCGAAGCCTTAAAGGCAGGCGAGCTAGCCGAGGTGGTCCTACTGGGGCCTGAGGAGGAGCTGAGCTCCTCATCCGTCGTGGACGACGCGGTCCTAGAGGAAACCATGAAAGCGCTGAGCGCAAGAAGTGGATCGGCGATCCTAAAAGATCCTTCGGATCCCTTTTACCCGGTGGTGAAGGAGTATGGAGACGTTGTCTCGAAAGACCCACCGATGGGCCTGCCTCCGGATCGAGGCGTGTGTCATGAGATTGACCTGGTTCCTGGAACCAAATACTGCGTAACAAGGAAATGGCCTTTGCCGAGAGAGCAGTGTGACGTCATTTACGCATTCTTCCGTGCGAAGCACGAGGCAGGGATGGTGCGTGAGAGTAAGTCTCCGCACTCGACACCCACGTTCTGTGTCAGAAAGCCAAACGGCAAGTGGCGCATTGTACATGCTTTTATCAAGCTAAATGCGGCCACTATCCCGGCGCAAACGCTGATTCCTCGCAAGGATGTTCTGCACAACAACATGGTTGGCCGTACGTTGTACAGCACGCTCGACTTGGTCGATGGTTACTACCAATTGCTCATGAGAGCGAACGACATTCCGCTGACAGCGGTGAGTACTTGACGCCGCCGCCGTTGCGGCGCTCATCTTCTCTAGGACGTGCTCCAAGAGCGCGTTCTCGTAGCGGGAGAACGATTCCAGCCTGGCGGTGACCGCCTCTGAACCTTGCGATGCAAGATGAGCCACGCCCTCCGGGCCAAGCAAAGACATAAGCTTAGTAAGCGCGTCCTGCTGCGCCTGGGGCAAATTCACGACCACGGGGTCTTCCATCCTCGCAGAGGATATAGTCAACCGACTCAGGAGCGCGATTGACTACAAGTGCTACCAAGTGCAGCGGGTCTGCCGTAGCTCTACCGTCAGAGGAAGACGTTCGACTCAAAGAGTTACTAATACTAAGCTTCTTATCCAAAGGACACTTACAGCCCAAGCCCAGGGCTCAAAGCTAATACCTTAATTTTTATGCCTCAAAACCAGAAGTGTTTTATTTACTATTATTGTGGCCAAGCCGCCTAGGGGTAAATGTATCTGCTTACCTATATAGCATAGTTAAACCGAATCAAATGCACAGCGTGTGGCTTTCAGCCAACGTGTTGAGAGACCTTGTTAACTCTCCAACTTATGTACTGAGAGTTTGTTAACTCTCCGGGTACTTAGTACCCCTGTGTTCTCCACACCATGTAGCCCCGTTGCAGCGTGGTTGTGCGTAAAAGTCCCGTGTTTCAGCTGCAATTTGCGTTTTGTCATATTCAACTGAACGACAAAGCGAAATGGGCAATCCGTCAAACGGATATGCTTGCCGAGGTCGACTCCCTTCGCTGCGTGACTTGCATTTCTTCCATCCATGCGTACAGATATATGTACGCATGTATGGATCAAATTCCTCAGGAACCAGTTGAGAAGAGTTTGCCCCCTTCTTGCTCGTCATAAATCGTCGGTTTCTCTCTGCGCGTGACATTGTCTCCTTTACCGGCGGAGCTTGCAGCGTCCGCTCACAGTACAGCGTAAAGTACGCTTGTCACGTTCTCCAGTCGGAATGCCACGTAGAAGGCGCCTCCACTGTCATAGAAACTTCGCCATCACTACTTTCATTCTCCACGTCCACGTCCTCAACATCATTCTCCACCTCCATGTCCTCGCCATTATTCTCAACATCCACATCCACGTCATCATTCTTTACATCCACGCCATCGTCATCAACATCCGCGTCCAATTCACCCTCGCTCCCCACGTCATTTCCAGATACGGTTTTTTTATCTCTCTGCGCAGCCGACCCTTCTTCCGCGCTTGGCGTCTCCGTATCACCAGCTCGCGTGATGTCTGAGAGGCCGGGGCCTCTGTGGCGGGGAGAATTGTCCCGAGTGCGCATGTCTCCTTCCTCGCCCTCGACGTCTTCTCACGTCTAGCCACAGAAACCAAAATGAAAGACACTTGCGTAATTTATCTCGATCGGAAATAGCAGAGAACTGAAGTAAATTGATCTTACAGTCCTGGATGGATCCAGGGCTTAGATTGTGTACATATCCCGAACTAAAATCCTGGCCTCCAACGGCTCCCTATTTTCTAAACGTCAGCACGGTTTCTTTAAAAATAAACCCCTTCGTAGAAGCACATTCTAATATAGGGTCATCATTTCTTACTTTCTAACAATAGTAAGGGTGTGTCGTGGTTTTACTATGCATCCCTTTTCCTACAAAAACAAGTAAAACTAGCTAAATTAACCCAAAATCTCCCTACCAGTAGCAATCCCCTCCGCCGGCACGACAGCCCGCGCAATACTACCCGTGCTTCACGAATCGTAATGGCAGCTTGAAGGTCTCAGATGATAACAATCGTTATCAACGATACTAGCGCTTCCGTCGGCAGCCTTTTTATGGGAGTTCAATTGAAGGTAGGAAATGAACAAGCTCAGTGCAACGAAGCAAGCTGCTGTAAACAAAAGCGAAAGTAATCGAAGACACATATGTCAAAGAGCAAGCAAAAGCAGTAACCGGAGGCTCGAATGTGTTTGTGATCGCTGCACCATCTCTAGCGACGGGCCTTATTCTTTCTCGAAGAAGCGGAATCGTTTCAGCCGAAGAGTTTGGCCGATATTTTGGAGCGCTTGCAAGTCGCGCGTATCGAAGTTTCCTGGAGCCACCAAATATCAACACGGTCTCATACCAGAAATTACGTCAGATAGAAGGCGTGGGTGACGCAACCGCCGAGAAGATTATCGCTGAGAGGAAGAAACGTCGAATCTTAAACCAGAAAGATGTCTTGGATCGAGTGATTTCAAACAAGAAACGAAAGACAGCTAAAATTTGAGCTACATGTATTGCGATGATGACTGTAAAGCTAGTAGATTAGCTTTGGCCGTTAAGCAAACGCACATCCAGCGATGGTGTTCCAGCTAAAAGAGATAGAGATTATTCGTTTTACTTTATCTTTGGGTCGGTCTTATATCGTCCCAAAAGAAAGATGGGACCAATCAGCGATCGAGTTTGCGGGTCATTGGCATCGCCTTTAGGGATGACACCCCTTCTTGTCTCACCGGGACGTAGTGTGGCACGGTACAAATCCCCCATCACAATGTTACAGGTCAGAAAATTAATACGTGTTGGCCACACCATAGAGCATTCATGTCTATAGCACCGGGTTGGAGGTTTCGAAATTGTAGCAATTTCATCCCGTTTTGTGGGCAGATATAAGACTAACTAGTGCTTAGTAGCCCAGAAAAATACCGGTTGCGAAATTGTTTAATAAAACTGCCCCCAGTTCACTGTCAATCCCATGAAGTAATCCGCTTTATTCGTCAGTAGAGTCTGGCAGACCACGCATTATTCCCACTTTATTCATTTGTATTTGTCAGAGTTTGGTCGTGTTAAAATTAAAAGAAGCATGATATGGAAAACAATTTATGAAGAAAAAACAGCGGATCTTCACAAACGCTTTCACAGTGTGATACCGGTGGGTCCGCTTCAACGGTGGAATCTAAACCTTAAAGACCTTTGGTGTGTGTGCTCACAGCTCTTGGGGTGTCGGATGGACTCGCCAACGCTCTTCATTACACTTTTCATCGTTTAGCAGCCAGTAGAAACAATCGAGACAGGAGCAGTGAGTGCTGAGAGCCATAGCACTCTGATCTCGAAAGGACTATACCTGTAGTTTTAGAGCGACATTAGAGTGATCGTGGGGCGTAGACACCTACCTGGTACTCCAGACGTGGATGGAGGAGTCGTAAAATGTTGGTTAATGAGCTGACGACGGCCAGTCAGAGAGAACCTATTCACAGTTACCCAACCATCCACAATACCCGATGATGCGTCCCCCACAGAGTCCACGTGGAACCGCGCAAAGTTTAAGATGGACTAAATGCCGTAAGTGTAATAGATTGAGGAAGCTTGTGTATTGTTTGGCAAAATGAAAAGTGACTATTGTTAGCTACAGCTTGAAGGACGTCTACATTCTTTCGTGTCCACTCCTTTATTCTTGTTACATGTAGTCACTAAATTCCTTCCCCAAGCTTACCGTAAACTTTACCGTAAACTGTACCCAATCCTTGGTAGCATACTTTTACATGTCTGTAACAGGGCAGTGGCCCGGAGTGAGCGCTGGGCCTGTGGTGGTGACGCAGTGTGGATCCAGCAAACCTGTGGAACCTTTGTGGGGCGGGACCAAGTTGAAGAAGGGCGAAACGAAGTCGGCAACCTAGATGGAGTGCGAAGAGTCGCGATAAGCAGAGGGCTATAGCCGGTGGATCGCTCACGGACGGCTCGAAGGCCGATGAGTACGGCCAGAGTGCCGAAGTGTAGGACGAAGTGAGGTGGGTGAGCAGCTGCGGACTGGCGTGCGGCCAAAGAAGATTGGCTGCGCCAGGATCGTACGAGCTATGTGGCGTGCGGCCAAAATGAAAACCGGCGGCTCCAAGAGGAAGAGAGCTCAGTTCGGAATTGGCGGTGTCAAGCACAACCAGTTCGAAGATCGCGGGTGCACGGGAGACATTAGCGACGCGACAGAGCCGTACGACAGAGTGCGGTACTAAGTGCGAGACGTCGGCCAAGACTGG